GGCATTTCGTGCAAGGGCCACCGGGGAAAAAGCCCTACGGTTCTCGCGCGTTACCGTCGATGAAAGACGAGGAAGAGCAGCCGAGTGAAGACATTAAAGGTACCGTGTCATTAACCATCTTTAAATTCAAGTGGTCCTTTTTAATGAAGAGTAGATCGTACGCGTGCAATCGGAGAAGAAAAGCGAATGAGACGAGGCGGAACGCGCGCACGGCAGACGGATATTATTATTCCCTTCCTCCCGTTCTCTTACAATTAGACGCATGTTACTTTCGTCGGGGCAATCATTGCCGTGAGCTTCCTGCCGCACGAAACGCTTATTCGAAAGCATCCCGTACACATGTATACATCACACGTCGTTACTTCCCCTTAAATTCTTTCGCGCTCTTTAATGAAGCGCAAATCGCGAACCGGCCACACCTTCGAAATTTTGCCACGTAGGTTCGTTCGAATCATCGTGTAACCTCATTGTCTGATGCATGATTATTATATTGTCGATGTTTAATTATTTACTGAATTTCTTCGTAATAATCTTCGTCATGCATCATTATACTATATCCTGAGAACGGCGATGTAAAAATTAAATGTGGATTTTTCTGTCACGATTATTTATATTGTTATTTAATTTTTACAAAATAATTCAATTTTACTATAGAAAGTATTAGAAAAAAATGTATTGCAGGAATATTTTAGTTGTTTCTTTTATCCTTTTTACAAATTTTGAAACGACATGTATCGCGTACTAACAATTAAAAATGGTCTTTTCTAATTTCTCGCGGTTATGTATTGAACCGTTGCCCTAAATACACGGTCGGGTTTCACGGAACTAATTTCCGGCTATTAGTAGTGTTTGTCCACGCAATTTGGTTGCGCAAAAGCCGTGAAGTCGAGCTGTTCTACCAATCAAAAACTCTTTAGTGGCATATCACTAGAGGCATTTAGATTTTTCTAATGAACCGCGAATTATTTACATTTATTACAAAGAATGAGTTATCGAAATATATTATGTCGAAGCTAGAAATTGACCTTCCTGCATTATTTCCAACAATTTATTATTCTTACTTTTTACACTTTTATTATACACGTGTGTAAAGGATTCCTTTCCTACGTTCGTAAATGTAAGACGTAACGTTTCTAATAACATATGTTCTTATTGGCATTATTGGATGGATTGAATATCGAAGGCAGAATTGTGTTGATATTTTTTATGCTGACAAAATAATTTTTATTTTTGCACTAAACAAATTTGTAGTAGGTACATATTTTAACCCACAGAGAATAGTTACATTACTTAATGAATAAATAAATTAAAGTGAAAAAAGGAAAAAAAAAACCTTTTTCCAACGCATTAAACAGCTTGAAAAAAATTAGAATAATATTTAATTAAAATGAAGTAACAGAAAAATTTATAACAAAATTCTCACTTTGTTGCCTCTTCTTTTGTGCAAATTTCTTAAAGTATACCATGTACGAAATAATACATTAACCTTGTCGGCAAATCAGACTTATCAGAGACTCGTATCAACGAACTGATGATGAACAATTTCGGCGTTCACAAACGAGTAGATCGTGCGTACTAAAACGAACTCGAGCGATTGAGCTAAACTGGCGCAATGGATAAATTGCAGCACATCGGCGTGTCATCTTCTTTTTCTCGTGTCCTTCGTCTTTCCTCTTCAACGATCGTCGATAAGCAGGCAGCGTGACGATCATTACATTCAATACGCCGGCATCGTTTCAAAAGCCGTGTTCTGTTGATGCGAACAAAAACTTGCGTGGAACAATCAGTTTGGAGGTCCTCCTCGCGAAGTGGACCTCGTCCACGAATTTGAGATACGCCGATAATGACGCGTCGTTTAAGTACAGTTACGTCCCTGATTTCGTCTAATTAATCCGTTTGAAACAAAATGGATCGTTATTAAGGATGTCTCTTTTCGATAACCTCGAGAGAGAACCTGAGATCCATCATCAGTCTGATTATATTTTCGCTGGGTAACGACTTAATCAAGACAGAAAACAGTCCTTTTATAATTTTCGATTAAGGTTGGGTTACGGCAATCCTTTTTCTGGGATGCATATAATGACGTACCATTGTAACATACCTTAATTGGCTCGCAATTAATAATGCATGATTGCGTGAGTGCATAGCTTCGCGCGCGCGTGTGAACATTATGCCAGTATAATCTCGCTTTGCTAAAGAGCTTGGCTTCGTTCACGCGATCTTTGTGCATGCAGAATCAGCGTGCATCTTGTTAAAGCTCGTTTACATAGACGGCCTTGAAAAGTGGTTAAAATGTTGGCCAGCGACAAATTATGCAATCACGCGAGAAACTAACGTGCTATTTTTAAAGCCACACAACATCTCGAGACAATCTTTTGACGAGATGAAATTTTATCATCTTTATTATACCCATATAGAAACATTGCAGAATGATTTCACTGAAATATTACAATATTGCATGGTGGTTGCGAAACGTTGCTGAATCATTGTTGCAAAACTCCAACAATGTTAAGTCCGCTTTTTGTTATATGGCAACAAAATGTTCTAGCAAATATTGCAATGTAATGTATTTAGATAAATTTTTTATGAAGACTCTAAAATGAAAACTATCTCTATACATATATCTCACTAACTTTAATTTTTTTACAAATTGCATTTCTAGTGATATGTGCTTTCCAAAAACAATTTTTTATGATAAAACCAAAATATTTTAATAAATATAATATTAATTCTGAAGGATAAATTTATTCGTAAGGATAAAGCATGTGTGTGTAATATAATAATACAGTCGCTTGATAAGTTAATCATTTATTATGCATTAGGATTAAGTTAATCGCAGTGATTCTTTTTAATCGAAACCATTCCGAATCAATTGACATCGATTAAAAAATCACGATATGAAATTCATCAATAAAGCAATGTATATATTACAAGCATATTACTGACATTTTGCGTATTGTTAATTTTTCTGTAATATCTCTGCAATATTACATTGCAATCTGCAATATTGCAGCAATATTGCTTCAATCTTCTGTGCTGTAATTACACAATGTAAAAATATGAAAAAAATGGTGATGTTTTCTTGATATTCTACAGTGTCTTACAATGATAAAAAGGACTATGTTACACAACTATGTCTTGGTAGCCTTCAGGAACATTTAAAGTATTAGCAAGTGGTACAACGCGGTTCTTTATTTTCTTGATGAAGCTACACCCGGTAGCACTTAAAGAATGCAGTTGTCCCGTGATTTCAATAGATTAACCGCGCTGAGATGTGGAAGTTCTTCGCGATAAGTTGTCGGGGCAGATTGTGCGTATTTCGAGAGATTTACGACGTAGACCTGAGGCATCAGGCATAAATATCGCCGTTATACGCTTGCACGTTACGTCGCGTTATTAAGGTCATCAGCTGCTTCTGGTTGGTTGGCCAAGTACAGATTGACGTAATGCGACGATTATTGTGCATGAGAGAACTCGCGTACAGATCGGGCCGTCTAACAAAATAGTTTCTGCAACCGTATTTCGGACCGGTCTATCCAAAAAGAGACATGAGCGATAAGATCTTGCTTGAAAGTCTATCGAGTAATTTTTCACAATCGTTCGCATGACTCATTTACTTTCAACGATGTAGGTACCAGTTGAATCAAGAAAAATTATTTTTATCTTTGAGTCATCAGTTATTTTATGTGGCAACTTTAAAGGATTTTTTGACTTGTATGTGCATATTAAACTTTTTAAAGTTTGATTAAAAACTGTGCATTTATGGCAATCAAATAATATAGGAAACTCTAATTTGCCACTAAAATCAACATCTTAAAATAGCGTTTTTTAACTGAAACCATAAATTATTTTATATTGCAACTTTAAAGAACTTTTTGACACATACATATGTAATATAATCAAGAGTTAAGTTTTTTAATTATATCTTTAATTGTACTTAAACACATATAAAATTTGTAAAATTTGATTTAAAATTATGAATTTACAGTAAGTAACAAGAACTTAACTAATTTTCCGCAAAAATCAACATCTTAATGTAACGTTTTTTTAATCGAAAGGACATCCATTCTAGAGAAAATAGAACGTGTGCAATAGATTGTAAGATCATTCGTGCATTACCGGAATGGAATCAAATTACAGGTTGTTCATGTAAGGCGTATTTATGGGAGAATGCCTAAAGCATGAATTTAATATTAATGATACTTACCTGCAATAATCGAATACTTGGTAATGTATAATGTTTAGCGGCAGCGAAAATTATGCAGCAGAAAGGAGTTCTAAGGAATTTTTACTTCTAAGGAATAAGGAATCATGAAAGTGTATACGAGCTGCGTGTACGTGAATACATTTGTATCTCGCGGAAAGCTCGTGCACCTCTAAATGCGGCAATGATCCGTGCGAATTGCGCAATGTGCCTCCCGCGGTTAGTAAACACGTCTGTATTCCTGCTGCACATTTATCGTTAAATGAGCCGTTAGGCATAATAGCAACACAGTCATATTTCCCCCATTGTGAGAAACGGAAAGGTATGCGAAACTAATTAACGTGAAACCTACCCAATTTATCGCAGCCTCTTTTACGATTTTACAAAGAGAAGATCTTGTGGTCACGCCGAGATAATTGTGAAACGGTTATATACGGCTAGAAATCTATCTTCAGCAATTTATACCGGTATTTCCACCGACACAGTTCAGCGTTAAATGGGAGGTGAGAATCGAGTCTTAATGTGCGATTTGTCGACGGTGATGCCGTCACGTACATAGGTGCGACTATAAACATACCACAACATGCGGTTTTAAGTTTGTCGTATGCGCGTTCTCTTTTCTTTCCGGTGCGCAACACCACTTTTAACGACCGGCGGAACCGGCAATCGACCACGCGCGTGTTTTAATTACGATCGAAGCGATCGTTAGAAAGTACAAACGATCGCGTCTCCATAATAATAAAGGCAGTCGAGAGCTCGAGTTAATAGCGACGCAATCTCTGTTTTATGTTTGCAGGCATGTGCGCCCAGGTACATCTGGTTCTCGGTGTCACAGCCAAAGTATGATGATAATAGATGGAATAAGGAGTCTACAGTGGGCAATAGGAGAGAACCAGTGGGTACATGCTGGGTCGCCTCTAATAACTTCAACGAGTCGCAGGAATATTCGCCTTGTCGTACGAGTAAGTTAAAACCCTTTCGAATTTTAATATCCTTAATTTAAATTTTATTAAGATATTTTATTAATAATTATTAATAATTTTGAGAAGAATTATATACTAAACTATCGCAATCTCTATGCTCTTTAACGTCAAATAATATCCGAATTCTAGATTAAAGACTTTATTAAAACATGGTTTGTTGAATGAAATAAAGTCAGGAGCAGGATTTTACTCCATATACCCTAACAGAGATCTTATAACCGAATCTTCTTTGAAGATTTCTGTTCTCAACGAAAGCTTTGCCTTGCCGGTAAAATAAACAGAGCGACGCCACGAAGCGAATGTTTAATTTTCACTCTCACCATTCTCTCCGTTGCTGGTATCGAACTTTCCCTCAAGAGTGGTACGATTTATAGTACGCGCGTCGGCATCGTCGTCTGGATATAGCTCGGTTTACGAGAAAGAACGGGAAAAAAAGGAAACTATCTTTCGAGATTTTTATACGCCTGAAACTACGTTCGCGACATGAGTGCTATAAACATTTGTGAAACATGCACTTTCGAAGGCGCAAGACAGAGCCGGACGTATCCTCGAAGTGCAAGAGGGTAGCTCCTCTTGTTCTTTCCGAAGATCTCACAAGAACGAATTTCCTCTGCGACGCGACAAGGTTCGCAGCCGACATAAGGTTGCGTTCTCCAAGCATAGCGACCGTAAATACGTCACGTAACAGGATACTTCCTGCCGACGCGACGTCGTAGGTTTGCGCTGTCTTAGTGACAAAGGACATATCGATTTTCGGCACCGCCTCGCCTCCGACTTCGGTCATTTCAAACCAATAATCAATGACATCAGTACTTATATCAGCGAGCAGAGAATAGTGTATCCCTTAAGAATGTAGGGTAGACCGAGGTGAATCGAATCACAGGACAATCATCGTCGTCCAGCATCTTGTCTTTGTCATTTCGTATCTGTTTTTTATTAAAAGGAATGTAATATTCGATACACTTGGTGTATATTTTTTGTACTTGGTGTATATTTTTTCTTTTTTAAAGAGATTTTTTTAAGGTAGCAACTATTGTCTAAAAAGTTTACATTGAATTTTTTGGTTAAATCTATTAGAATTCTATTTGAGATGTTGATTTCAGAATTCTGGAGAACCTTCTGATTGTTCATTTTCAATCAAATATTTTTCTCAGTTAGATACCATTTTTGATAGAAATAGGAAATAAGTAAATGATTTTTAATTTTCTAAAATATTTTAGGATTTACGGAGAGAGAGAGAGAGAGAGAGA